TTATAAAATCATTAAACAGAAAATGAAGCTATTATACATTAAATTATATTAGGGGTATTGTACCCCATTTTGACCTTGAGACTTAGACCACCATAGTCCCCTGCCTTCAGTCTTATGCACAGGGCTTGTTCATGTGCTACCATGATTAGAGCCTCCGTGCTGTCTTTCTGTCCAACTTTGTCCAGCCACTGGTAGGATTCTTTGATATCAGCCACTTCTTCTATCTGCCCGTAGTACATACTGTCCTTCCATGATGTTCTTGCTCATCTTTTTTTCTCAGGTTTCTAATGCGTGAGGTATTCGCCAAGCACAAATTAATTGTGGCCATCTTCCTGATATACCCATTTTTGTTGTTTCATTCTGGATGATGGTTCTGACAATCACTGGTCCTTATCCTCCTTCCTTCAGCTTCACATAAAATGTCAGGGTGCAGGACGTGGGGTGAAACCCTCCATACATGGTAAAGAGCTTTCTTGTCTTGATGTCAGGGACTTCTATCTTCTCCTTTGGTGAGCTGGTTATTCCAGTAGGGTATATGATGACTGACAGGTTGTATGTGGTGATTCAGCAGATCTTGTTCTTGCCATTCAATTGACACCTTAGGATTTGACACTCTGCTGGTATTTGGTTGTGGCTTTTCTAGCGGCCTCTTCATGGTTGCCATTTGTATAATTCTAAGGTTATTCTAGCTGTCCTTAGTGTCTGCGATGTAGCCTTCTGGCAGTGCAGTCTCCTCAGTTCTGACTAACTTCCTTCTCTTTCTCCAAAATCCTACTATTTGGCATCAACTCACCCCACCATGATGGAAGAAGATACATGCTGAGTATGACTCAATAAACACTAAAAACACCAGAAACTTTCCAGTTAAAAACAAACAAACAAACAAACCCACACACATGGCTTTCCATTCAGCTAAAACAACTTTAAGAATGTCATTCTTAAAGATCATTGGATGCAATTCGATCTGTAGTTACTTTGTTTATTTACTTACACATTATTATGATTATGGTCATATCATTAACTAAGCAGTCTGGTCAACTGTTAGGGAAGTACCTGCTCCTTGTTGCAGTCAATGACAACTAGATCTGCTTCTTTGTCTTTGCAGTCCTGTCTGGCTCTTGTCCATGAACCAGAGTCATTGGAGAGGAAATAACAAGAACTACTAAATATCCTCCATCCTGCTGGACAAGTTTTCTCTCTCTGTCTGGTTAAAATTAGTTCTTTCTTTAGCTCAGTGATGCTTGAATTCAGCAGGTCTCTCTCTCTGGTCATGAATGAAATCGCATTAATAGAGGCCTGGAGATGCTCGGTCAGGTTGTTTTTGAGAGAAGAAAAATGTGCAGCTTCACTGTGATCTGGAAATAAAAACATTTTAAAAAATGACATATTTATGTTTATTATGTTAAGGACAAAACTAACAACTGAGTTGGTCAATACCGACAGGCTTTGTTACAACATATGTTACCTATGGCATTATTATTGTGCCTCTGTTCTATGAGTGCAGGTTAAAAAAAATTAAAAAATTTGCAAGTGCAAATGTTGCATTTTGAGGAGAAAATTATTTTGAGTGAAAAAACGTTTAATTGGAGCAAACAAATTTCATTGCTGTGTGCAAGAAATGTATTTCAGTGTTTGCTATTATGCATATACACACACAATAACAGCCCCTCTTGCTCAGTTGTTGGCTGTTCTCAGTGTGACGTTCGTGCTCACAACATCTCTGCTTGGTGCACGCTCAACTCTCTGTACACCATTCTAGGTGTACCAACCAACCAATCACAGACTTGGATGTGAAAATTCTGATTGGCTGTTACAGCCTCCAATCAGCTTGCTAGCTACTGCATTCTGGAAACATGGTCCAGAATGTTGCCAAATGCATTTTCGGTTAGTATGTTTAATTATTTCATTTTAAAATATATAATTTTTTAAGACCACTGTTGGTTTTAATCTAGTTTAAGCTACACTTTTCTTTGTTAAAAAATAATTTACTCCACAAAATGCAACATTTGCGCTTGCAAAGTTTTTTTTTTTACATGCAGTTAGAATAGAGGCACAAAAATAACACCATAGTTGCCACCTAAGAAAGATGGTGTCTGTTGGAATAACGGGGTGCCTGCAGCTTGGTCCTTTCAGCGACTGAAATTATTTGATGTGTACATGTGTTCATGTGTACATTACATATACACTGTTTAGAAATACATTTGGCCAAACAATGTTTAATGCAGTCGCACTTTGGAGTCACTGGCATCCATTGTCTTCCGTATCTGTAAATAAAAACAGCTATTCTAATAGTGCCTATAATTTGTTATTTTCTCTCATACAATGACAATGAAGCTAGTGGAGAAGAATAATAAATATCTGTTGTTATTTTTATTTGTTTTGTATTCATGAACAGCCATATTTTCTTATTATTTTCTAATTATATACAGTGATGTAATGAAGTTATAAATAATTCGATGATAAATTAACACATGACTGTGTTCTCATAGATGAGCGAACTAAATGAGCACTGAAGGCTTGGCATAAACTGCCCGTATGAATACGGAATACAGAATATAAAAATGAACTGAATAAAGCTAAATGTGAACAAAACTCACAGTGAAGACCAAGGCCAATGAGCCCAGCCAACAGGGAAACACTCAGCAGCCCCAAAGTAAGAATAACAGCTTTGTGAAACTTCCCGTCAGAGCTCTTTGGACCTGATAAGAAAAAAAAAGTCAGAGACGTCTTTCACATAATGCAACATATGCAACATATACTCAGTTACTGCGGTACAGTAAGTCTGGACTGGTTCTCCGTCTTAAGACTCTCAGTTAGAATTACTAGAAACTAATTAAAGGAGACATGCCTAACTGCCTACATCTAGATAATGATACCACTCTCTCTGATAACATACTCTGATTAAGCAACTCTGTCAGTCAAGTACAGTCAATCACTCCCCTTGTTTCCCTAAAGTAGCAGGCCAAGAAATAAACGCCCTAAGCGACGGTCAGCTTGTGGGCTAGAGCAACCTCTTAGAAGCAATAAAAGCTGTAATAGCCATACACATATTTTAACCTTTACCGTTTAACAACACAATTCAGACTTTAAATGCAGGTAAGATATTCATTTAAATCACGAAACCAATTTCTATAAATCACTTTATAAATCACCAAGACTAATCATAATAGATGAAATGGGATAACTGCCACTAAATACCGCTATGGTCTCATAGTTCCTCCAAAGTCCATAATTCAACATCGCAAAAAATTTGCAGCAAAGAAAAGACTTGTGGCTCCAATTTTTAGATCACAATTGTTTGGCTATAATTAACCGTCTGGAACACTCTGAAATATTATATTGCTGACACCGCTCCAGAGACTCCAGTTTCACAACGCTTACAACTTGTTTTTAACTATGTACATGGGTACCCCACTGAGAGCCTATTCATCACATTACTTCAAGTCCTAGATGGATGAGGTTTGGGGGATTTCAGTCCTTTGACAATCTCCATCAAACTGGAAATTCTTACCTGTTTGAATTGTTGAAGAGCTTCTGTTGACTGACTTGCCATGTTGAACATTGACATAGATTTCTTCCATCTCTCCTGAGATAGTCAGGTTTCTTTTAGAGAGTCGGCTCTGCAGTACACGTTACTTGAAGCATAAATGAGGAAGTTTTTAGCTTAGTTCCTTCTTGTCTTTTACAGAAGTTTTATCGGAAGTCATACTGTATGTGTTGAACCCAGAAGTGTCACTTCTAATAACATTTCTATAACGCAGTTTAAGTTTGAAGGTTGAAGTCTCCTGGAATAGTCTGAATGACTAATGTTACATGAAAAGACAGATATGCAACAAAATTCAAAACTCAGCAGAAGGTCTAGATCTTGTCCCTTGAAGCTGCTCATTACCCACTGTGTGGATCATAAAAGTATAATGAAAGTGAGCAGGCAATCTGCATATACATTAATCTCACAAAGATGCACTGAAATCACCAATCAATCACATTCCACTCGGCCTTGTGTCCAATGAACTTCAATTCAATTCAATTCAAACTTTATTTTTATAGAACATTTAAAAGCAACAGAGTTGACCTAAGTGCTTCACAATCAGTTAGGAACAAGAGAAGAAAATAGAGAAACACATAAAGATAAATGAGAGGACAATGTATTAACGTTAAAAAACAGGTCTGAGGTTATTAACTTGAGTTAAAAGCCAACATTGTGGGGGGGCGGGGATAGTTCAGGTAGAGTGGTCGCCCCTTGATCGGAAGGTCGGGGACTCAAATCCACCGAATCCAGGCTACCCTGAGGTACCCTTGAGCAAGGTACAGTCTCTACACACTGCTCCCCAGGCGCTGGATTGGTAGCTGCCCACTGCTTCACTGAGTGAAGGGATTAAATGCAGAGGACTACAAAATTTCCAACGTGTGGGACTAAAGAGGTTTAAAATGGAAAAAAGGGGAGTTATAAGATGCAATTTAAAAGACTGAATAGGATTTAATCGAGACCTCGGTTATATTAAGAGCTCTCAGTGCTCTTTTGGGGTTATAAATGTTGAGGAGTTTGCTTAAATAGCTGGGTGCCATATTATTTAAAACTTTAAAAGTTAAGTAAAAAAAAATTATATGGTATTTGACAGGGAGCCAGTGTAAATTTGCTGAAACTGGAGTGATACATTCATACATTCTAACACCTGTTAAATGATGAGCAGCAGCATTTTGGACTAACTGCGAGACATGAGTGTTGAAGACCAAAATAGAGAGAATTGCAGTAGTCCAGTCTAGAGGTGATGAAGGCATGAATAAGTGTTTCTAGGTCTTTTGGAGGGAGATAAAGCTTCACATAACAGATAAAAACTGGTTTGAACTGTGGACACTTGCCTCTCTAATTAATAAAAGCTATCTAAAAACACTCCCAAGATTTCTTACAGTGTGAGAATGATGACTGACAGGGGATTTCTAAAAATCACCCCGCAGTTCTTCAGCTAAGACACCTGAGTTAGAAAACACAAACACTGCAGTTGTCTTTACTCTCGAGGGCAGTCATGGACGCAAGACCTGCGTCTCATCACTGTCTGCGTGCTTTATTTATACAAGCTTGTGTGTGTGTGTGTGTGTGTGTGTGTGTGTACAAAGATAACAGAGTTATTCTAAGAACTCTGAGCTGAGGTTCCCCTTTTTCTAAATCTGTATGTTCTTACAGAAAGAACAAGCTGTTAGTTGTTTATCACACAAAAGTACATGTCAAAAGTCACATAGAAATTTGCTTAGTGATAAATAAAAGAGCACATTTCATGAAGCTGATCTCACTATAAACAATTTTCCTTTGACAATGACAAGCAAGTGAACTGAGGGTAACAGTTAACTTATCCAAAGTAGAATGACTTCAGTCTTATTTACATTCAGGATGAGAAAATTTTGTGCTAACCAGTCTTTAACATTACAGTGGAACAGAAACACCCAGTTTCAAGGGGAAGTAAATTTGGATGTCATCAGCATAACAGTGAAAGGGGATGTTGTATTTCCTAAAAAGAAATCCCAAAGACAGCATGTATAAGGAGAACAGAGTTGGACCCAAAACAGACCCCTGAGGCACACCACAAAAATTGGGGCAAAGGAAGTGGAGTATTGTCCAATAGTAACAGAAAAGGACCTTTCTGATAGATAGATATTTAAACAATGATAAAACTGTGCCTTTAAGACTAACAATGAACAACCTGAGTTGTTCTGTTGTTTAAACATGGCAAATAATTAAGCTTCTCGAAAATAGTAAACACACTGGACAAAAAGATGTGTTATCCCCTTGTGCTGCAAATTTTCCAAAGTGGAAAAACCGGGACGTTATGCAAAACATCACAGGAGAAATGTAAGCTGTCAGTTTCAGTCATGTCCATCATACAGGTACAGTGAATACTTTATATTTTGCTTCTATGAAGGTCAGGTAATTAAACATCTTAACTGTCTGCAAAGATGTTTTAACACAATGGAACACAATGTGAAGATCAAAAGCAGTTCCCTGTTGATTTAATTTTAAGTTTTGGTAACTTTTAGGTGAAGGGATAGGACCAGTTTGATGTTAATGTAACACAGTGTGCAACTTACATGACAGTACAACAATTTTTTTTCACTATTATTATTATTTGTAACATTTTGGTTTTAATTACTTTAGTGTATCATATACATGCAAATGCAATGCCATTAAAATACAATTGCTGTGATTAAACATTTGTACAGTGTTAATAAGACGTTCTACATTCATTGCAAAAGCAAATTATTTTCTTGACCAAAGAGCTACAAATAAAATCAGTCAATTTCTCAAGCGCTTGTTTTATATTTATTCAAGAAGGAAAAGGCTAATCACAAATGAAGGCCATTTTACTAACTGCATTTCACCTTTAAATCATCAGAATTTGATGAAAAGGATTCCTTGGCAAGTGTTACACATAAGAGTGTAATCGTTCTGCTATGATGTTTTTGTACCAGTCAGTGAAACATGACAGACTGCTGAATTAGTGGAGTTTGTGTGGATACTACTACCAGCACATACTGGGTACTGTGTAATATGAATGTATGTCACTTATCTTCACATGAATGTATCTTTGAGATATTCTCATTGTGTATTCCTTTTGTTGTCTTAGATATTGTTCTTTATTTCTTATTATTGAGCTGAAGAAGTGGCAATTTTGTCTTTTTGACATTCTCAGGGCAGGCAGGCAGCGTGGACACCTAAGTTTGTGAATGCGATAACTTGAGAACAAGGCGACGTAGGATTTTGAAATTGATACCATAGTTGTGTCTACCAAGAGGCTGAGCGGTAGCACTGGTGGTCACCATTATTTTTACAAAAAGCCAACAAGATACTGAATTTGCCTACAGGATAGCAAGAATATGTAACTACTGCGGAATTAATGTTCAGATATCATTTAACTGCTGTAGCTGCTCCTGCTGGTAACACTTTAAACTTTTAACTGACTTGTTTGATATGTAAAATCTGAATATTATATTAACACAAATACCAAAGACTTTAAGTGAATGTTGTGGTGTATATCTTTGAAATGTTGTGAAGCAAAAGCACAAAGGTGACCAATTTGGAAATGCTCAAGTAAAGTGCAAGTACCTTTATATGACAGTAACTGTACTTAATTACATTCCATATGACATACATTTCAAATTAAAAATGAAGCCTACTTAGCCTCTAAACCACAACATACCAATAACATACCAATAAGATTTCACTACAGTACAGAGAGGGAAAGACTGAAAGTAAATACATTGAACAGCTGTCACTGAAAAAAACAGCATCAAAAGTGGGAGTGATTATATGAAATATAATTAAAGTGTACTGAAACAACAAACTGTTGCTAGGGTTACCAACCACTGGATACAAATAAAGAGTTTTGTTCCCAAATTGCAAAGATATGACATCATGGATAGTGTCACATCATAATCATATGACTGATTATCTGTTCATCCCATATAAATGTATTATCCTTGTGTTCTGCTCTGAGGATTTCACCGTGTCTTTAAATATTTTTTTCTGCCTGTTTCTTCTTATTTCACTTTCACATTGTCATTTTGTATCTCTTTAAGTATTTTATTCTTCCCCTGTGCTAATCCTCTGCTCTTCCCCAGCTTACAGGTATCCACTGTGGTTCATCCTGTGCCTGCTGAATGATGGAACAGAGCTCTATGCAAGCGTCCTGTAGGTCATCGTTCACCAGGACGCTGTCAAAAAACTGCTTGTACTTTGCTTCAATCAGCTTTGATGTCTCTTCAAGCTCTGCAAAGTCTTCCTCCTAAAACGACATTAATACTGTCAGTTTTAAATAACATTCATTCTTTTGGTTTTCTATTTCATAAGCAGCTGTTCTCTCTCTCTCTCTCTCTCTCACACACACACACACACACATAATTTTTTTATGCTCTTACTGAGAAAACTCTGTTGATGGCATAATTGGTGATGATTCCAGCATCTCTCCGAGTTTCCCTGAGTCTGTCCAGGCTGGGTGGTTTGATGAAAATTACATAGGGTTTAAATTTCTTTGTTCGCAACAGCTGGATGCTCTGGAAATAAAATACTATATTAACACCAAAGCTTTTTCAATCATATGCAAACAAAAAGCTTCACAGAAAACTTAGAGACTGTTCAGAATACATGAAATAAGTGAATCTGTGTTAAATGAAACTCACATGGGGCTCGGCGTCAATGATACACATCCGCCCTCGTTTTCGCACCTCATCAATGGCATCAGTGCTAATTCCAAACAGCTGACCTTTACTCTCCCCATATTCCAAAAATCTGAACACATGTACACACACACATTCATACATCCACACGTGCAAAAACAGCATACAATTATAGTTAAATAAATGATAAACTTATATAATTCCCTAAAATTTGAACAAAAAGCCCCCAAAATCATGACAATCAACACCAAGAACAATAGCAAAATTTATAGTAAAGGAAAAAAATCTTGCCTGTGGTTGCAGACCATGTACTCAAACAGTTCTTTGGTAACAAAGTGGTACTCTCTACCGTTCTGCTCCCCTGCTCTGATTGAGCGAGTGGTGTCTAGAAGAACAGACCAATTAGAATGTTTATATTAATAATTAGTCACAGTGAAAACAGCAGTATAATTATTAGGGGTGCAACGATACTCGTATCGACATTGAACCATTCGATACAGTGCTTTCGGTTCGGTATGCATATGTATCGAACAATACAAAATTTTAAAATTTATTTTATCAACGTTTCTTCTGATGATGCTGTCTGTGTTGAGAGCTCAGTGGATCTGTGTTCAACTACTCCGCCTAGGCTGCACTGTCGAGCGCAGATCCACTGAGCGCAGCGCAAGCTAGCAAGACAGAAGCTAAGCTCGTTGCAACATGGCAAATTTAACCTCCCCCACCCTCATTCAGATCTGGCGTTTGGAACTATTTTTGTCTTCATGTGAAGTATGACCCTGAAGGTAAGCGGGTCATGGACAAAAGTAAAACAGTATGTCGGATGTGCCACGCTATGCTCAATTACATGGGTGGGAACTACTGCGTTAACGCAGTTTGCTTGTTAACGTGTTGGCCATCCAGCCCCACGTACGGGGCGATCCGCGGTAGCTCGTTAACGGAGATTTGCCGTGTTGTGGCGTTAACGTAATTTCAGATTAACGCTGACAGCACTAGTGGGAACAAAATGAATATGACTGCACATTTACGCCGACATCATCCTAGTGCAAAGACAAGTGGAAGCAGACAAAAACAACAAGCACGCATGCTACAAACTTTACCCGAGTCATTTAGACAGCCGTTAGCACGTTTCTCCTTATGGGGACCTGATATGTTTAATATGCTGCTGAGAGTATAGCCCAGAAGAAGCATATAGTATAGCTTTTATTTTGGAAAGAGCCATTTTTCTGTAATAAACTCTCTTTTCCAAAGATGAGTGATTTCTCGATCAGATAGATTTAGTTTTTTATTACTTTGTTGTTTCAGCAACATTACATTTAAAAACTGTATGTTTGAGTTAAAATATATATTTATAATTTTAATAAATGACAAATTAAAAAAGCATGAACATTTTTTTGTATCGAAAAAATATCGAACCGTGACACCAAAGTATCGAACCGAACCGTGAATTTTGTGTATCGTTGCACCCCTAATAATTATGTAAAGCAGGTAAAATCACTTGACTTTACTACCTCCTCCGCTATTGAGCTAAATAGTTTTTTTTCAACAGTGTAAAAGCCAGTAAGTCATGCTTCTTATCTGGAAGTCACAGGACAGTTCTCATAAGTAATTATACTAAACTGGGCTCAACTGCAAACCAACAGGTGACTTCAAATCTCACAACCATCTTCACACACAGTCCATGATAATATTCCAGATGTTTAAAAACAAACAAAACAAAAACATATATTTCTTTTTTTTAAAAATGTAGAGCCCTCTTTTTATTGTCATTTAAAATGAGAAGAACAGGTTCATTTTATTTCTGTAGGAAAACCTCACACGTGTTAAGTAAAAGGCACATACGAGGCACTGGTCCCTGGAACGTCGAAGGATTCAGTTTGATGAGTCTCTTCCTAACTTCATTTACTCCAACTCCTGAAGCACCTGTGCAGAAGAACAAATAATCGACTGGTAGGAATCTCCTTCAGACTTCCAAAGATATACATACAGAGACGGACAAGAATGCTGGAAAATAAACCTTTTCAAACAAGGAGAAAACAGCAGGTGCTGTTAACAGTAGAAGTGAAATGATTTCAAACATTCTCCTGATACAAGAATGAGACCAGTGTGTTGAACAGTACATAAAGAAAAGCATTATTTATTGTATGTATTATAATTAGATAAGTACTTAATTCAAAGGACTACTGTACTTCTGCCAGCAATTCAGTGTTCAAAAAACCAGTGAAAAATCTAAGCATACAGAGAGGCTTCTATTACAGAGGGTCTCAAGATGAATTGATAATCTCAGATTTTGTTAATTTTTATTCTGTTCACCAATTTTGTGCTGCAGTTGTCTTTTGACATGAGGTGGAAGGTCTATTTGAAACACTTTACCGACATTCCATAATTTCAGGGTCAGCTGGGAGGCAGTGATTGATTTCTCATGGAAGCATTCATGTGTTATTAATGCAGCTATTCATCTCACCAACGAGGATGATGAGGCGGTGGTTCTCCTGAGGAGGGCGCTGGTACAAAACCACTTCCTCATAGGGGGTGGACAAAGCATTGGTGTTGGGAGAGCAGGTGGTGCACGACTGTCGTCGCTTCCTGTAGGAAGTCCTCTTCCAGACACGGAAACTTCGACGGAAACCAGCTGGTGAGGTTAAAGAGCACTTTTAGTTTCGCTTAATAAACTTGACACACTTCTCACACACACTTCTCCTTATAAGGTGAAAGTTACCAAAGTTTAGAGACAGCAGTAAAATGATTTATTATTGATAATATATATTTTCTATAGATATGATTTCATTAGATTGTAGGAATGTATTATTAAATAATAACTTGTCTTATTAAATCCATCCTTTAGTATAGATTTTATTATCAGTGCTACCCACAAAATGACTACTTAAATACTACCTAATTATCTGAATAACATGTATGTCTTACCCAGGTAGATTCCATCAGTAACATCAGATTCAGCTTCATCTGAAGGAAAGAAACATTCAAACTCCTAAATTTATCACCAGGCAGTACATTTCTTCTTTTTATTAAGTACAGAAATAAGTAAGCATTTCTTTTTATATGTATTTACTACATTTTATTTTTTGTTTGTAAGCCTGACCTTAATTTTCATGGTCATATTAAAAATGCACCTAAATTACTGCCATTTAAAATTTTCATTAAAATAATTTCATTGAATTATGACTCGGAATAAACAAGTACATATACAAAAAGAGTCTACGCTGCGGGACTGTTTTGATCACGTGGACTGGGAAATATTTCACGTGGCTGCTAATGACATTGATGAGTACACAGACTCAGTCATTCATCAGGAAATGCGTGGGAGATGTCGTCCCATCCAGAACAGTTAAATCCTTCCCAAATCAAAAACCCTGGATTAACAGAGATGTTCGCACGGCACTGGCGGCACGGAGCACCGCTTTTGCCTCCGCGAACACATCGGACTACAAACATGCACATTACCAACTCCGGAAAACGATCAAAGCAGCCAAACATGAGTACAGGGACAGGGTGGAGCAACAGTTTGACAACCCTCGGAGTATGTGGCAGGGACTAAACACAATCACAGACTTTAGAGGGAAAACCAG